CCCAGCCCTTCAATACTCATTTCATCTACACCCTGCTGTCTTTCCCTGCCTCTATATCCTGAGGACATTGGTGTCTGACCTCCCCCATCAGACTGATTACTGTTTCTCTGGAGGGCTCCCTGCAAGCAGAATGCAAACCCTGTGAGTTCGATATGCTCAGGGATTGATTGTTCTCCCTTCAGGAGGGGCTCCATCCAGAGAGCCATGGTGTCCGGTCAAAGCAACAGAGTCCTGGGCAAGAGGAGAGGGGCTCGGACCTCGGGGTTCCCCACCCATCCCTTCTGAGTGGCCTAGAGAAGAGGTCCTTAAGCAGGGCCAGTGAAATGGGGGTGGGGGTATGGGATGGGGAACCTGGCTGGGCCCGGCCTCCTCCCCTGAAGAATGCATCCCAGCACCTTTCCAGACCCACACCTCTAGTTGCAGAGCCTGCCCTTAGCTTTCCGCCTTGGGCCACCAGTGGGAGTGAATGCTCTAAGCCCCTCAGAGGGGGTGGGGGCCTGAAGTAACCCGATCTCCCAGCCTTCCCCCAGGTGCCAGCCCTGGATGACCTTGAGAAGATGCAGGTGGCCTGGAATGCCGGCTGTTGGAGGTGGGCCCCGTGTGCCCCATGTTTCCTGGACTCCCTCCTGGATCACAAGGCTGGAGACGTTCTGAGTGGTCCCCTGCCACCACGCTAGGCCGCTCTCACCAGGCTTCCCCTGATTCTCCAAGACCTCTAGGGCAGAGGATTTCACACCCTTCAGAGCCCCCTTTGGATCCCAAAGGAATGGCAGGACCAGAGCATGCGGCCCTTTGACCTTCCCAGCTGAGTTCTGAGTCTTTCACAGGCAGGTCTCTGGCTCCTTGTGAACTCAGTTCCTCTTTCAGTCTGAGAGGAGGTAACACAGGAAAGGGAGAGCCCCCCACCCAGCCCCCTCCCTCCACGTCCTACCTCTAAACCTCTCAGCATCAGCCTAGGAGTCAAAGGTTCAAGTCCGAGCTCTGCCACCAACCGGCTGTACGACCTTGGGCGGTCGTCACTCACCCCGCCACCGACCCCAACCCCATTTCAGCCTCTTGATGAATCTAGGGATGTAGACATTGCCTCACGTCCCTCCCTGATTCTGCCTATCACTCCCCCACCTCAGTCAGCCCCTTCCCATACGCTCCCCTCCTGCCTCCCCCTTCCCACAAGGTACCCACCCAGCTCCTCTTCTCAGCCCTTTCACTTCAACAAGCATTTATAGGGCACAGGCTATATCACAGGCCCTGTGCCAGGTGATGCGGTCACAGAGACAAGACATGGTCTCTGCCCATTGTACCCACCCCTTGTTCATGTCATTTAGGAGAAAGATGAAACCAGAGACTGAAGCAAAGGCAGGTCAACAGAAAAACACAGACACTGTTAGATGCTCCATGAGGCTTTATGCAAACAAGCATGCAAATGAATGAAAGAAGGATGGGGTAGTTGGTGGGACCAAATGAGTGTCTGAGCATAGATTTTGATGCAATGTTCTAACTGGACAGGACATTGGAGATGGTGTGGTGAAAGGGAGGCCCAGGGAGGGGAAATGCCTCAACTGAAGGCCTGTGGCACATAGGTTGGCATCGGGACCAGGGCCAGAGCTCTGTGCACCAGCCCAAATGGAAGAAGCTGGGCCTTCAGAGGGGAAGTCTCTGAATTCGCCCAAGTCTCTTCATGAGACTCAGCCTCTGACACATCTTCACCTGAGCCAGCCAATCCGTGCCGGAGAAGCTGGTCCCTGCCTTAAAGGTCTTATGTTCTAGGAAGGGAGGTGGGCAGTAGCCCGCTGACAGTAATCTAAGGCACATAAGCTCTGTCCCAGGGAAAGCTTGAGCTTCCGCCGATGAGGGCCGAGGCGGGAGAGGCTTTCCCCAGGGGAGGGGACACAGAGGCTGGAAGCAGGCCCACTGTGGACCCCACCCTTGATTTACCTGCAGCAAGTCTGTTTAACTCTTATCTCCCGAGTTATCCTTCTAAGCAGGTTTGGACAAGGTGGAATCCCTTACCCCTGTCAAAGCCACTGTCCAGGTCCAAGCCCTTCATTTGAAAACAGAGGAGACTGAGCTCAGTAAAGGGCTGTGACACACCCACTGAGGCTCACAGAGCCAGGTGCCCTGACCTCTCTCCTCTCCAAGTCACATTCTCTGGCCCTCGCCACTGACAAGGAGTCACCAGGCCAAAAGGACCCTGAGGAGACACATCTTGTGCTGGGAAGGCCTGTTAGGAAGACAGGGTGGGGACAGATGGGAGGAGTGGGGAGCCAGGCTCTTCGATTCTGGCTCTTTCTGCTTTCTGACTCTGCCCCTCCCCACAGCTCCCCCACGAGACCTCATCTGAGACCTTCACAGCTGCAGGGGCGAAGGCTCAGCCAGGGGCAGCCACACACCTGGTCCAAAGCTGTGGTGACATCACCTCTAGTTTTGCTGGACGTGGCACTTCCCATGATGACAGACAAAGTCCACGGGCCTTTCATTCCGTGGTGAGGACAGTGTGGAGGGGGGAGCCTATGGAGTAGATACCAAAGGCAGCCCCCTTCCCACCCCACAGAAGGATCCAGGGTACCGGACAGGGCCGAATGCCAGCTCCTGGGTTAGTTAGGCACTTCTCTCAGAGTGCCCTCATCCACAAAAGCACAAAGTTCTTCCTGAAGTCTGCCCTCCCTCTCTCTTGCTGCAGTTTAAACCCCTGTGCATTCCTGTAGTCAACAGCACTGAAAAACTCAGCTAGCGAGTAGTTAAGTATTTATCTTCTGCCATAGGCCCAGCATGCCGTCTGCCCATAGGAGCCATGCAAGGAATTTACCAGAAATCCCAGCACTTGAGAAGCTTACAGCTTTGTGAGCAACACGCTCCCCCCATACAGCCTCCACACTTCTCATGCACGCCCCACTCCCGGCCTTCGCTTTTCCATCAGGAGCCCTGATTTCCTGAACGGCATTCTCCACAGTCTCTGCTCTTCCCTCTGTGCTGTGTGATCCCAGTTGGACAAATCACTCCGCTCTCTGGACCTCAGTCTCCCTGTCTATAAAAAGGAGGGCCTTTTCCCCCTTTTGTTGGGGGTGTCTCAAAGATGTCACAGCCCACTCAGCCCCAGTTGGCCGAGTCAAATGGGGTCCAGGAGCTGGCTGTGCTCCCAGACCACAGAGGGAGGCTCTGCCTTCCCCAGGAGGGCTGAGATGCAGGCTTTCTCTCTCATCCCTGAGGACAGGACCATCCTCGCTGACAGCATCAGCTCGGTGCCCTCTGAAGTCCTGCCAGTGTCAGCACTCCCCCCTCCCCACCCCACCTCATCCCACCCAGCCTCACCCAGCCAGCTCCACTCAGGCTGACAGCATCGCCAGCCTCTTCCCATAGCGGGGGCTTCTGGCAAGCTGATGAGCAGAAAGGGGGGGCCCTCTACTCCCTAAGTCCTATTACCTAAAGTACCACCGCCCTGACTCTATACTAACTGGGGGGCTCATCTGCATTTTGCCTTTGTGAGATTTCAGAGAGGCTTCCTGCCCACCCCATCCCAGGGGCTCCACAGCTGTCTGCTCAAACCCACAGCTGGCTTCAGGGGAAGGAGAGCAGGGCTGGGGGAAAGGCAGGAAGTGGGAGCTAGAATGGGCACTGGGCCACCGGCTTCTCCAAGGAAGGGGAGTCTTGGCAAGGTCCCCAGACCTTGTGCCAGTCTTGACACAAGGGCCAGGGTGGGGATGGAGGGGGTGACGTCCTCCACCTCCCCAGTCTCAGTTTCCTCATCTGTAAACTGGGGCTAATGACATTTAACAAGCAAGGGGGGTGGGGGGCATGTAATTGGCCCCTGCTGGCTCTGGGCTTTGAAGTGGGGTGGAGGAGGGAGGCTGTTGGCCTGGTGCAGGCAGGACAGTGTTGGAGGCCTGAGTGCACTGGCCTGCAGAGGGGGAAGGTACGAATCCCAGGGACCCTCTCCCGTCTGAAGGAACTCAAAAAGCTGAGATCATACACCTAAGGGAGGCCCTGGAGGGCATGGGGTAGACAAGCAGATCCAAGGCCTGGGGGCACAGAGAGGCCCCAGTGTGAAAAAGAATGCCCCAGTCACCTAAGAAAGGTGCCCCATCACCCCCTAACAGGTAGGAGAGGGGGCCTGGGATCCAGCCCAGGAGCTCTCAAGCTGTGCTTCTTTTATTTCATGAACCACAGTGGCCCAGCACATACCCAGACACACAAGGCATGTGTCCACAGGGAAAGGCAACAGCCCTGTGCACATGGGCTCATGAGAAACTCACGAGGAGGTGAGAGAGGGTAGGGATGGTGGGAGGGAAGGAGGCTATGGGGACTGAGCCCAGGGAGGTGAGGACAGGAGGGAGGGAGCCACCACCTCCCACGCCCTTGGCCTTTCCGCTCGCCCCATGACGTCAGGGCTGAGTCACTGGGAGAGGCCGCTGTCCAGCAGGGGTGGGAGGACCCTGGAGACCAAGTCTGGACACTATCCCAGGCCAGGCAATGCGTGGGGCACATTTGACCCGGTTGGCGCACACCAAGGATGCAGGCTAGAGCCAACCATCCACAGTCCAGCCACCCACGCCTGGCGGGCAGAGCCTTGGCTGGGCCTGGGAGGCCCCAAAGGGCCATCTGGGAGGATCAAGAAGTCATCTCTGGCATCCCCCTGCCTCTGGACAGGTCAACAACGGAAACATCCAAGATTCACCAAAATATATTGGGAAGGCCTTCTTGATATCAAACCATGAGTCTTCTTGCTACAAGCTACACCCATTGGGCCTTCAGCAGGGGTAAAGTCCAGGTGGTCACTGCTCTTCCTGGGAGTCCTCTGTGCCCCACCATGCTTTCTCCCTCTAGCTCCTTTTATGTTTCCAATAGGTGGTACACGGAGACAATTGGACATAGCCAATGGATGGAGCATATGTGCAAAGCCTCAGACGCCAGGACTAACCACCCAATGATTTGTTTGGTGGAGCCTCAGAGCCATAAAATTCAAGGGTTAATTTGGTCTCCTGAATAGAAAGAAGACTAGTTCATTCGTTCCACAAATATTTATTGATACCTACTAGGTACCGAGCACCGTTCTAGGCATGGGGATACAGCAGGGATTCGGGGGCTGCTTCTAGAAGAGGCCTCAGAGGGAGAGGAGGATTTAGGCTGTCCAGGGAAACTCTGGGTAGAGTCTCCACCCACCATAAATCCTGGAGACCCATAAGTCCCAGAGGCTCCCTCAGCCGGGGCCACCACTTTCCCACTGGCCTTCTGTGGTCCTGTCTGAGCCTGGGACTCGCCGGCTGGAACATCTGGAAGAACTGATGTAGTCTTTCACCCACTCATCTCCACCCACCGAGTGTGTGTTGGGGAGGGTGGCAGGTGAGATTTATGGGATGCTGGCTGTGCAGCTTGGTAAACCTCCTTGAAATGCAGGGTTTTTCTGCCTCCTGGGTTGACAGTCCCCAGACAGCCATGGTGAGAGGAAGCTTCCTCCGGTGCTCAGGGGCCCACCCAGAAGCTGAGACCTGGGGACCACCCCCCACCACTCCTGCCAATGCTTACCTCCATCCCACTCAGGAGCTTGCCCTCTCGGCCTGCTGTCACTCAGCTCTGTCAGTGTTTGTCTCCTCTGTACATAGCTCAGTGACCTCCTGGGTTCCTGTGGCCTGTAGGGGGAAAACATCCTGGAAAGGATGTTATTAGCTCAACTGAATTAAGTCTAATCAAAATTGGAACATGGATATATGGATGGTAGATTAGATAAAATATTGAATTGATGCAAAATTATAAAATTGATAGCTATACTGTGGTTAAGGAAGAGAATATCCCTATTCTTAGGAAATACATGCTGAACTATTTAGGGGTAAAGGGCCATGATATGTGTAACTTACCCTCAAATTGTTCAGGGAAAAATATATACAGAGAGAGAGAGAGATTAAATGGGATTAAATATTAAATATTAACAATAGGTTAATCTGAGTGAAATGTATAAGGGTGTGCTCTTTGTACTTTTTTTTTTTTTTTTTGGCCGCACCGCATGGCTTGTGGGACCTTAGTTCCCTGACCAGGGATCGAACCTGGGCCCACAGCAGTGAAAGTGCCAAGTCTAAACCACTGGACCACCTGGGAATTCTCTGCACTATTTTTATCTGTGAATTTTTTTCTAAGTTTGAAATTATTTCCAGGGACTTCCCTGGTGGTGCAGTGGTTGAGAATCCACCTTCCAAAGCAAGGGACGCAGGTTCCATCCCTGGTCGGGGAACTAAGATCCCACATGCCTCAGAGCAACTAAGCCCGTGCACTGCAAGTGGAGAGCCTGCGTGCCACAACAACTGAGCCCACACACTCTGGAGCCCGCGCACCACAACTACAGAGAAGCCCACAGGCCACAACGAAGATCCCACGTGCCGCAACTAAGACTGACGCAGCCAAAGAAATAAATAATAATTTTTTTTTGAAAAAAGAAAGAAATTATTTCCAGTGACAGAGCTAAAGAGAACAGCTCTAGCTCTCCCTTATCCCTGCACTCCTCCCATATAGACCTGGGATGGGGGCTCCCCATGTTTCACTCACTCATTCCTAGAAGAGGACCCGGCGCATAGAGACACTCAGAAGTCAATATGGCTGATACGCTAGATGCGCTCCTGTCTTTCTGTCTTTGCATTTGTCCCAACATCTCCATTCATTTATTCACTTATGAGTAAACACTCTGCATCACTCAGCACACAGCCACTTGCTTTCCCTAGACATATGTAGGAGACAGGAGGACCCACTTACAGAGCCCACCTTGGTGGGTCTTTGTGGTTCTGAGTGAGTCTCGGGCCTGTATCTCGATGCCCCCACCGGACGTTGACCTCCTTGGGGCTGTCACCATCCTCAGGCCTCTCTGAGGGATGGGGGATGGGAGGTACTGGGTGCAGTTTTTAGAGGCTGGGCCCTGCCCATGGGGCTTTGGTGACTCCTTCCTCCCTGCCTCAGTCCACCTGCTGCCCTTCTCCCCTCCTCCCTTGGAGGGCATATGTGCTCCCAAACCCAAGGCAATGGCTGTGGCCCTGAGGGTCCAGCCTCCTCTTTCCCACTTTCCGACCCCTTCTAGTCATGCATGGGCCTGGCCACCGCACCCACCACCCTTGGGCTCCTGAGGTGAGATCACCAGGGCTCCGCCCCCCCCCCCCAATGCCGCGCACACACCCCACAGCAGCAGCGACTCCCAGCACCATCTCACCATCTCTCCTCTGGAACATCAAAGGCCCAGGCAGCAGTTTCCCGCTCCTCCCGGCCCCGGGGGGTAATAAGAGCCCATGTATGTAAATGCTGCGCCTTTCAAATAAATAAATACTGGAACACGCTGGGTCTCCTGTACTGCTGCCCGGAGCCCTGAGCTGGGACCTAGGCACAGGGCCAGCCCCTGACGAGGTCTCGGGGACCACCTGGAGCCTGAGGTGTGTGTGCAGAGTTTCACGCAGGCTGAGGCCCGGCTTATCCTCAGTAGCATCAAAAAGACTGCATATTGGAGGGGCCAGGGAAGCGGTGTAGGGAGGGAAGGTCCCTCAGCGGGTGCCCTCCATCTCTCACAACCCCACCTGTTCTACCTAATGCACAAGCCACTCTTCCTTCAACATCTTTGACTCCAGAGCCAGCCTGCCTCTTCCAACAAGTCCAGATTGCATCCTTCAACGGGGGGGAAGAAGAAAACACAGGTGGTGATAAGCGTCATTGGAAGGGAACACTTGACAGGCCAGGACCCTGCCGATTCCTACAGCAGAGGGCCATGGGTGGGCTGCATCGAGCATCTGAGGCCAGGAAGAGGAGGAGAGGGAGAATGAAGTAGCCTATATCGTGCTAAAGGCTAAAAGGAGAGGGAGCCCCTGCACCTCAGGCCAGGGAAGCAGCTGTCCATCCCCAGTGGCCAGGGGACATGCCGGCAGGAAGGCACGCATGTCAGCTGTGTGACTCTGGGTCGGTCACTTAGCATCTCTGAGTCTCAGTTTTATTGCCTGTAAAACAGCCTCTCGCACAGGGGAGCAGAAAGGGGGACACCTTGATGAGGGGTGGGGGAGTCCCTGTGTGTCTTCAACTCCCCCACAGGGCCTGGCACAGAATAGGCACCAAAAACATGTCTGAATAATTGAATTTTTACAAAATGAATGAACACATTCCAGACTTGATTTCTTCAACTACTTA